TTAATGTGGCATCATTAAAATGTTATTTCACTTTTTAATACACTGAAGTATTAACATTAAAATAACCAACCCTCCTTCCAAAGCAATGCACCCCATAGAGGCAGTATGGAAGCCTGACAAGAGTTTCCTCTTTAAACACAGTTAACCACCTGATTATCTGAAAGACTGCCTATGTTAATAGGAACATGTTTGGGATCTAAAGTCAATAGAAGAGATCTTCTTAGTGATCAGCCAATTCCAGAAGCTTATTTGTCAGGCATGAAGGACAGAGTAACTTCCTACACTGATCCCAAGTTTACATATTTTACTCTCTTGAGAACAGGTGTTCTTTAAACATACCCAAACCACCCACTGAGGCTATGGAAGTCTTATCGCAATGCAATGATACCACTAAGGCAGTGGTCCATAACTTCTAGATCAGAACTTCTGGAGTGGAGGTAGAAGTACCAGGATGAGCCTTAAGGATGAGAACAGGAGCATTTCACATCCTAGAGGCCTATGGCCATTTTTATATTATCATTTTTATCTGAATTGGAAAAAAAGCAGTGACAAATCATTCCTTCATCCTTGCCAAGCAATTTGCATAGTTTCAGGAGGCTGTGATTCAGAAGTAGAAAAGATCTTGAAAATTATTTTGCAGGGCAAGCTGTGGAAGGTCAAAAGGCTGCTCTTAACTTTTGTGGCGGTTGTTACACTAGCTGGAGTGCAGATGCAAATTGGGTGGAGCCAAACGTCTCATACACACACAGGTAGAAATACAGGTAGTCCTCGACTTATAAGCAATTGCTTAGGGACCATTTGAAGTTACAACGGTACAGAAAAAAGTTACTTATGACCAGTTTTCACACTTACAACTCTTGTAGCAACCCCATGGTCATGTGATCATAATTCAGGGACAACTGGAATGTATTTATGACAGCTGCAATGTCCCAGGATCATGTGATTACCATCTGTAACCTTCCCAGCTGGTTTCCGGCAAGCAAAGTCAATGGGGGAACCCAGATTTCCTTAATGACTGCATGATTCACTTAACAACTGTGGCAAAAAGTTTGCAAAACGGGATGCAACCACCACCCGCTGGATGATCTTTTTAAATATATTTTCATGGAGAACATGCAGGATTATTTATTTTTAAGTCTATTTAAAAATGTGTTCTGTTCTTGTATTTCCTGTAGCCACTTTTTATGGTTTTAATTAATCTGAAGTAAAGACGGGAATGAATTAGGATTAGAGGACATTCTAATTACCACCCCCCACGCACACTGCTTTAGAATTCTTTTGACTGAAAGGAAGAGAACATACCGTATTTTAAAGCATAGTTCGACAATTTGGCACTTTCCAGATATTAACATGGGTACATCCTCGATGTAGGAAATGACCAGGCTGAGCCCGAGGGAGAAGTCAAACGCATGATCAGTCATGAGTCCCTTTGGGCTCACAAGAGATCTGAATCGCTTGAATTCCTTCTATTCTTATCTCCTGCTAATTTTCCTTGATCTGTTAGTAGTTCAGATTCTTGTAGAGAGCTTAAACTTGTAATAAATCTTTATACCCATGTGAACTGTCTGGATCTCTTTCTTTTCCTGGCGCTTGACACTTACCAATGAACACAGTGAGAAACTGCATTTCATTTTGAAGCAATGGAAAGTTTCAGGGAATACAGTGTTTATTGGATTTCTAGTTCCTTGGAAGGAAATTATTAAAATTATGCCTCTATAATATGAAGTTTATTTACTTGTTATGCAGAGTGAATACACAGATCCCTGCTCTTACCAATATTCTTGGTCAGCATAAGCACCATGGAGTGCAGCCTAAGCCAACATTTCGGCCTCCACTTTCCAGTAGAGCCTCAGACTGCTTTACGTTCTAACGTTGCAAAAGAATGAGTAGTTCCATACAGTTGATTCTTTGGAGTTGTTTAGCCAAGATTTTCTCATTTTTTCCTGGGGCTCATATAACATAAATTAGGACTACCAATTCTCCCTCTGTAAGTTTTTAAAGGGCATTGTTCAGACTGTCTATTCCAAGGGCCAGCAAACTACAACCTGTGGACCAAATCCAGCCCACCTGTTATTATACAGCCCACAAGCTAAGAATGGATGGACAGATTGGCAGGTTGGAGCCTCAGCTGAGCTTCCAGGACAGGATTAGGCCGGGATGAATCCTAGGCCACAGCAGTAGTCTATCTACAGCCTCCTTGCTGGAGAGCTGGTGCTATCTAATGCCTGCCAGACTGTCTGGCCTGCAGTCCTGCCAGCCGCGCACAAAGAGGCAAGAAAGGGCAGGATCTGGCCCTTTACAAAAAAAAAAAGGTTGCCAACTTTTGTTCTACACTAATAGTAGAACCCACAAAAATCTTGAATTCTAAAACAAAAAAACCCACAAAAATTGAGATGAACTTTTGGCTATGGTTCAAACTAGCTCCCCAAACCACAACAGCTTGGCATTTTAGATATATTAACATCACAAAATTCACATCATGAACCCTCCCTCTCAGTGTCTGCCCCCCCCTTCCCTTTGCTCTCTAACTCATCCATACACTGGCAAAGTGTTAATGCTTCGCTCAGATTCACTGTCAGTTTCCAATTCAGGTAGCTTCAAATTTCAGCCTTCAACTGAGTTGAGTGATGGTATTAAGATTTGGAGATATTTGTGGTGGGGGTAGACAGGAATATACTTTTTTCACATTTCAGCAAGTGTGGTACTGCAGAAATAACAAGTCAATCTACTTGTAAAGAAATAGTTGATCATACACCTGTCTGTGTAAGAATGTATTTGCTCCACACTAAGGACATCCCTTCGGCCCATGATAGCAAACCTGTGGCACGCAGAGCCATTTATGCTGGCACGCGAGCTGCAGGCAAACTTACCTCTTTGCGCATGCCCACGCCTCACAGCTGATTTTTTTCCCCGTTGGTTTGAGGCCTTTTTCGGCCTCCCAGAGGCTTGGAAAAAGCCTCTGCAGGGCTTCTCAGGCCAAATTATAGGCCCATTTTGTCACTTCCTGTAATACCAGAAGTGATGAAACGGGCCTATAATTCGGCCTGAGAAGCCTTGCAGAGGCTTTTTCCAAGCCTCTGGGAGGCCGAAAAGGCCTCAAACCAGCCAAAAAATCAGCTGTGAAGTGCAGTGCAGGCAAGGGGGTGGGGATTGTGTGGGCATGCGCAGGGGGCGTGGGGTGCATTGCATTCTGGGTGCTGGCACGCGAGTATGGGCGTGCCGGCATGCTCGCAATTTTTGGCACAGGAGCCACCACTGCCTTAGGCTTTTAACTATACAGTCTTCATTTGAGGGGAAACTATGGATTTAACTGAATAACAGAGTTGGAAGGGAACTTTGAGATCTAATCCAACCGCAGGAAACCCTATATCAGTTCAGACTAATAATTGTACAATCTCTTCTTAAAAATCTCCAGTGTGGTTCCACTGATTAATTGTTCTGTCTACATTACTATTAGTAGACTATCATTCCTCTTTAGATGAATTAGTACCAGTACAGTGGTGGCAATATGGTCACCATCTGTAGCAACCCTGCATTTAATGCCATTTCAGAGTTGTTTGCAGATTTCTGGGACTGAGACATTTTGTGCTCTGGTATTCCAGATTTAGATACATTCCATAACCCTTCCTCCCACAGTGGGAACTACTTTTATAGATGCAGCCTAGCTGTCAAAGGCTCTTTTCTAAGGGAACAGAAATTCCACCTGAGCTATAAACAGTGTTTGAAGCAAGGGAATGCTTTTTTATTTATTGAAAAACACTAACTGCTGTTGCCTATCTCTTCTGAGAAAGGAAGTGAAGGATATAATTATCCTAAATAAATAAGTAAGAGTAGATTAACAATTAACATTCGAAGTTTTCTATTTTGAAGTCTCTCTTAGGGCAATTGCACGGATTTATAAATATACGTTATGTTTCTTCTAGCAGGCCTGCCCTAGGTTTTATGCCTCTAATCTGGAATTATTTTAAAATTTGCTTTCATTAAAAATAGAAAGTACAATATTTAGACACATTATTTTCTATCAAGGTGCCTACATTCCAGTTAACATGTGTATCTAATCCAACATGTGCTTATAACCCTTTCCTTTAAATGTTAATATTGCCCTGTCATTAGTTAAGAGTGCTGGATTCAGAAAAAAAGGAACTGATTAGCAGAAAATACTGTGCAAGTTTCAATGAACCTGTGATGCGCATCTCTTGTGGCCACGGATAGCATCACAGCAGCCTTCCAAATGCTGACACCCTCCAGATGTGAAGTGCAGTGCCACCCCCACCTTCCAAACTTCTAACCAGCATAGTTTCCATGGGAGTTGCACCCATCACATTCTTATTTATAACTTCCCTTGGAAAGCCTGCTCCGAGGCCGTCTCCCAAACAACGACCGAGTATAACAACAGCTTCAATTGCACAAAGCAGCAGATTTCTCCTTCTCCTTTGTGGCACTTTTAATCTGACATTGCCTAGGAATGGGGAGGCGGCCAGCAGGTCCTACGGGGACCTCACAGAGCAAGAAGACAGAGACTGGAAGGAAGGGCGGCAAACTTCTTCCCCTCCTTTCAAGAAGCCACGGCGATTTCCCCAGCACCTGCTCTCCCTGACGAGGCCTTGGCCTTAAGGGGCTTACCAATTCAGACCCTTCGGCCTTTGGCCTAAGAGGCTTCCTCTCCCCTCCGGTTCCATTCAGTGTCCTAGCAAAGCCGCCGCCGCCGCTGGGAAACCTGTCACGCACACGCCTCCCGCTCGGTACATTTCCACACACCCCACCTCCCCGTGCTTTTCTTCCCCTCCCTCTGCCTCCGCCGCCGCCGCCACCCTCTCTTCGCGCTCTCCAGCTGGACTTGGCTTTATTTGGAGCTGCCGGGAAGTCCCCGTGCTGCAACAACCCCCCCCCACGCCCCCCCCCAACCCCCGTTTTGGGCTTTTTTTTTTTTGTGAGTGACACCGCTTCCTACTGAGGAGGGGGAGGTGGTGGTGGGGAAGCGCCTACAGATTTTCGCGGCGTGGAGAGAGGAGAAAGACGCGCCGCGTCTCATCAAAACAGGTAAGGCAAAGAGCAGGCGGCGGCTGGAGAGAGGTGGCGGGACGACGGGCGAAGCTGAACGAGTTTTTTGGGCAGGGCGGGGGGGGGAAGGATATGCGTTTTGGCCAGGCAGTAGATGTAAGAGGGAGGCTTGGCAACGGGCCACAACTGTGCAGAGGGGGCCTTTCCTGGCGAGGCGAGCTGTGTGTGTGTGTGTGTGTAAGAGGGAGAGAGAGAGTGAGTGTGTGTGAGTGAGAGTGAGAGAGATAGAGAGAGAGAGTGTGTGTGTGGGCGGAGGTCCCCTTTCCAGAATGGGATTTAGGGGAGTGGGGGGTGAAAAATTGGTGCGGGTTGCACCATGGCACCAATGCGGCATAGCGACCGCTGGGTGACATGCTGAACTGGCAGCCAATACCTTCAGGGAAGGTATTTTTCACCTTGATGGGGTGTCATCTCCTTTACGTGGGCGGCATCGCGAGAAGCCCCCTGCTTCTATACCCTGGGTGCAAACCGATCGCCCCCTCCTCTGGGTCATCAGGAAAAAGAAAGGAGGCCTAATCGCTTTGTTATGATTAGTGGTTTCATGAGCAATTCTTCTTTTTTTAATGCATGTTTCCAGATGAGGCAGCCTGAGCTGCATGTGTGTCTCCATATATACATTTTGTATGACTGCCACCTGCCTATTCCTGCTTCTGTGATCTCTCTCATTTTAAGAACAACAGCCTAAGATTTTTGGTATGCTATGAATCATTCCAAAAGGGTGCATATAAAAAAAAAGCCCTTGGGATTCAGAGTCATAAAATTGAGGGGATGCTTCCATGGAATTTAGCCAAATGTGGGTAAGTGTCAAATGTTTAGAAAGTAGCTCATTCCAGAATGAAAAAGCAGCCCAGTCCTATGAGTATACAGTATACTGAGATGTAAAACTAGGTTAGCAATTTGCAATGACAATTATTTCCAAATAAGGATAAAACTAGTTTGCATCTGGACTGTGTGCTGTATTTGAGATCTAATATAATAAAACAGTACCATTCTGTGCTTCAGTAATTTTAATAGACTATCCAGAATTATTTCAATTTCCAAAGATAAAAAGTGGTATTGTGCCATTATTAAGAAAAGTGCATAGGTGTATCTGTGAAGCCACCAGGAATTGCACTTGCCTCAAAACTGCTTTATCTCTCTTACTAGTATGCAGAACAAAATCATTATTTTTTTTTCAATGAAATTATCAGTGTAGGTTCCTTAGGGTTCTCTGAGCTTGGCTGTTTGCTTGCAAAATATCATCATCATCATCTGCATGGTTTTATTAAAACCTAATTCTTCTCTGCACAGGTAATCCTCGACTTAGAATAGTTCATTTAGTGACAGTTCAAAGCTAGAACGGCATTGAAAAATGTGACTTATGACAGTTTTTCACAGTTATGGCCTTTGCAGCATCCCCATAATCATATGATCAAAATTCAGATGCTTGGCAGCTGGTTCATATTTATGATTGTTGCTGAGTACCAAGGTCATGTGATCCCTTTTGTGACCTGACAAGCAAAGTCAATGGGCAAGTCAGGTTTATTTAATTTAATTAATTTAATTTATATTGCTACCTATTTGCCCATGGTGACTTACACAATGTAAAACCATATTTAAAACAAAAAAATAAAAAACAATAAAAACTAACAAAAAGAATCAAATAAATTAGTAAAGTACAATAAGAACAAAATTTGAGAAAACATAGAACAAAATAAAAAAACAAACACCAACTCCCCCCCCCTGCCCCGATGACAACAGCTCACACTAGCCATTTGATGGGCTCCATCCCTCTCTGGGTTCCCCAGGCCTGCTGGCAAAACTTCAGTGCCTTTCAGAAGAGTGCTAGAGTGGGGGCCATTCTAATCTCTGGGGGAATGATATTCCAGAGAGAGAGGGAGCCACCACAGAGAAGGCCCTTCTTCTGAGTCCCATCAGATGTATCTCCCTCGGGTGGGACCCGCAACATTCCCTGCCTCCTCGCTCTAATGGGTCAGGAAGATGTGACTGGCAAGAGATGTTTCCTCAGATAAGCCGGACCCAAGCCACAAAGGGCTTTAAAAGTGACAACCAGCACCTTGAATTGCACTTGGAAGCAAATCAGCAACCAATGCAGCTCCTGCAGGAGAGGTGACACATATGCACACAGGGGTCTGCACAAAACCATGAGGGCTGCTGCATTTTGCGCTAACTGGAGCTTCCAGATGCTCTTCAAGGGCAGCCCCATGTAGAGCGCGTTGCAATAATCAAGATGGGATTTAATACCAGGGTTACTCATTTATGAACTGCAGTGATTCACTTAACAACTGTGGCAAGAAAGATCGTAAAATGGGGCAAAACTTAACAAATGTCTCACTTAACAGCAGAAATGTTGGGCTCAACTGTGGGTCGTAAGTCTCAATTGCTATGGTTAACCAAACACCTCTGCTATATTGTGAAACATAGAAAGCTTTTTTTATTTAAAATTCTGGCCATTGACAAGTAGCTTACATAACTCTGTGTGTGTGTGTGTGTGTGTGTGTGTGTGTGTGTGTGTGTGTGTGTATTCAGGGCACAGAAGACTGAATCATTCTTCCTTCTCCTTTGATTTTCCTTCCCTGCAAACATTAAGAAAGTGTGAAGTAGGGAGCATTTAAGGAAAATGTTTTAGTCTGCTTGTATGTAGGATGAAAAGGCTATACAATGAATTGCAGAATTATTTGCTGTTCCTTTGAAGCTAATCATCTTAAGATGCTTGAAATATATCTTATTTTTCATCAGAAAATTTGTCTGGTTGAAACATGGAAATATGAACAATGCATATTTTTAAACAATAATGTTTATCCTATTTTTTCCGTTCATGATTTGAAATAATTATGATTTAATTATGACTTGGAATAAGTACTGGTAAAAAGTTTTTCTATTAACTTTCAACATAGTCTTGCGCATACCCGATAGCCGACGAAAGCTCCCCGAAGGCAGAGTCCCCAGCTGCTACAGGGCGAGGCGTGGCTGCCCGTGTCCCCTCACCATTAGGCAGTCTCTTTCGGGCGATGGAAGTTCCCCAAGTGCAGTCACCAGCCACTTCGATCGGCCGGTAGAAGCAGCCTCGGGGCGAGCGCACAGACACACACACACACACACTCCCCTCGCCGCGAGGCCGCTTCTATTGGCCGACGAAAGCTCCCTTGAAGGCAGAGTCCCCAGCCGCTTCGGGGCGTGACATGGCTGCCCGTGTCCCCTCACCTTTAGGCAGTCTCTTTCGGGCGATGGAAGCTCCCCAAGTGCAGTCACCAGCCACTTCGATCGGTCAGTAGAAGCGGCCTCGCGGCAAGGGGAGTGTGTGTGTGCGCTCGCCCCGAGGCCGCTTCTACCGGCCGATCAAAGTGGCTGGTGACTGCACTTGGGGAGCTTCCATTGCCCGAAAGAGACTGCCCAAAAGCGAGGGGACACGGGCAGCCACGCCTCGCCCTGTAGCAGCTGGGGACTCTGCCTTCGGGGAGCTTTCGTCGGCTATCGGGTATTCTAGCCTAGTCTACCTGCAGGGTACTCCTAAAGGCAAGTTTTCTCCCCATGCCCCCTGCCCTTCCCCCCCATTTCTCTTCACCATGTGTAGTTCTAACGAACGATGTGAGAAATGGGGAAACACATGATTTAATTAGGCCTAAATTTTGGGGGCAGGGCTTAATTTTACCTCATGCCTAGAAATCATGCTGGGCCTTCCTGTTGGTAGAGGCTGTATTGTTGGAGAAACACGGTATTGATGGGGATACTTAAAGAGGGGTTACTTAAATGTTACATTTTATTGGCTGCGTGGAAAAAATAAAACAAATTAAAAAAATAAGCATCTGTGCATGATAATTAAAAAAGGCAGCACTAAATGTTATATGGATAATTAGAAAAATTTCCTTGGTAACTTTAAATCAGCCATTTTTTTCAAAAATACTCTGGTTGTTACAGCATCAAAAGATATGTGAAAAAATCTTTCCTTCCTTCCTTCTTTCCTTCCTTCCTTCTTTCCTTCCTTCCTTCCTTCCTTCCTTCCTTCCTTCCCTCCCTCCCTCCCTCCCTCCCTCCCTCCCTCCCTTCCTTCCTTCCTTCCTTCCTTCCTTTGGTATTCTAAAGCCGGAATGTCCAGATTAAGGCTTTTTAATAGGAAGAAACTCCCATCCCATTAAAATTGTGAGATATATTATAAGCCTACCCTATTTGTTTCTTGCTACTGTTGTGAGGAGTGATTCAGTTACAAGAAAACACTTTCTCAATGAGTTGAATATACAGATGTCTTGTGGACTTGAAAAAGCCTTATGGACTTTAGGCATTATTTTAAAAATATTCTTGGGTTTCTAGCATTTGATGAAATTATAAGTAAAGGTTAAAATGGTTATTGGGGGAAATGGATTTGCGTAACAACTACTGCATTCACTTAATGATCATTGTAAAGTTTAATGGCTTTCAAGATGGCTGCGCACATGGATGCTGCGGCTAACTGCTCCTTCTTTCTTAAATACTAAAGAATGATGATTACTTACCTCGACTTACGACTGCAACCATTTATTACCATAATTCCAGTCTCAATTCCTGTTGTTAAATCAGGATTTACCTATAAGGTAAATAATATCTAATACCTTTTACAGATAAAAAGAACACCTTTGAGGTGTCTCCAGCTTTCAGTGCATATCTGGGGACACTTCCTTCTACTTTTCATTGAAAACAAATTGTAAAAAGTGAAATCACAAGAAAAGGAAATGCAGACATTACGGGTAGTGATAATTACCTTATTTACAATAGTTATTAGTTAAATTGTTGGGAGATCACACAAACCTTGTTGCATTCACGAGGTGGTTAACACTGTAATGTGATTTTAAAAACAGTTTAATCGAGGTGAAAACTTCAGTTGTGGAGTTTAGCTAAGGCTGGATATTTTCTCCATATGTTCTACTTCTAAGATGCTAACTGAAGTGAAATGTTAATTTAAAAAGAAAAAAGATGCAATGTGGCAAAATTTATTCCACTTCCATGTGCAGGGCTGGCTGTAATGATGGTTACTGGTTTTGAAATGGTGGGCATGGGTGGGTGATTTAGCCCCACCCCTTTTTTACATGTGTACAATGCATGCAGTGCACTTTTAAAAGAGACAAAGTCTTGATTACTTCATCCTGCATGGCATTTTGAAGCCAGTGATTGGCACTGCAGATAGACCTGTGTTTGGAAGAGGTATTTGCATCCAGAATATTAACTAAGTTTGACCTAGTGGTTAGGGCACCAGCAGGAGTGGGATTCCACTGGTATAACAACCGGTTCGGTGTTTGTGCACTTTGCACATGCACACTTAGCATGCACACACGCCAAATGCACACTCTGTGTTTAAAAAAGTCTAATACCTTCTACAATAGTCCCTGTGAATAAAACAGCTGAGTCACAGCAAACCTCTCTGTTTTGCGAATCAGCTGTGCTCTTAAAAAAAAAAAGGAAATAAAGCACAGGAAAGAGCAGGGGCAGGTGGGCAGGCCCACATGCTCATCGCAACGAACTGGTTTACTGCCAGCTGATCTTTGGAGCAAGAGGTTCACTCAAACCAGTCCCAACCGGTAGAATCCCACCCCTAGGTATCAAGCTACAAAGCAAGAGACTATGAGTTCAAGTCCTGTCCTAGCCATGAAAGCTGGCAGACTGACCTTGGGCCCATCACTCTCTCAACTTGCTTCACAGCATTGTTTTTGTGGGGGAAATAGGAGGAAGATGTGTTGAATGTGTTCACCACCTTGAGTTATCTGTAGAAGTAATAAAAGTTGTGTATGTGTGTAAAAATATAATTAAGTGGTTTTCTAAAACCCACACAACAGCTAGTATTAATATCTCTCTTTATTTTTTTCAGAATGGCAGAGGTGGCTTTGATAGAAAGATTGGAAAAAGCTGTAATTAGGCTTGAATCATTGTTATCAGAATCACAGAGAACTTCTGGAACTATCAATGGAGTCAATGGAGGTATGATTTTATTGTTTCAGAAACGTATTTGGTAGTTTCTAAAGGGAACAACTAAATGTCATGTGGTGGTAACATTTGTTCTAAAAGAAAGCTAAAAGATAATCAACCACTTTCGTCATATTTTAAAATGACCTATGAGGAATATTCATACTTCATTTTAATTATAATTTTATGTTCTGCAGAAAAGATGTGTAATTCATCTATTATTCACATTGCTGATGTTTTGAATTTCTTTCCATATTTCAACATTACTGTTTCGATTGCTCCAAACAATTTACTGTCCTGTAAAACAAAAAAATAGCAGAAAAGATCTGTGTTGCAAAAATAAAAATACCTATTTTCTATAAAATTGTTGTTTCAGTTTACTAAATTTTGACATGGGATTAAAAATGTGCTTGGGTCACTAAAAATAGTTTCAGGGTTATTTTTATTTTGTTTTGTTGCTTTGTATACTGTTTTCCATTGGGTTTTTTCCCATTGTACTTCTATAGCCCATCTCAAGAAGCACATCATACGGGTAGCTCTATGATAACTTGGGGGGGGGAGGGGGAAACACCGCTAACAAACCACTGATCCAGTGATCCTGCAAGTGATAGGTTATAGTGCAATGCAATCAGCTCTTTTAGCTTTAAATTACTGCAACGCTCCCCAACAATTATTCATGCTTTGGTGCCTCAATTTGTGGATCGCAGAAATTTAAAATGAAGCTTTTCATAGTGTCAGCAGTTAAGGTAATTTCCTCCCACCTCTGAGTTAGGAGAAAAGTACTTCAGTGGAGAAAGTGCTGTGTCAGCTGATTACCTCTGCTTTGCCTTAGCCTCAGGGGGAATTACTATTGTTGCCCACACACAGTTCAGTGTGGCATTGTTTCAGGGTAACAGTTGCTAGTTGACTTGCCATCCCTTCTCCTCCAATCTAGTGGTCCTCTATAGGCATGAAAACCAACTGTCAATCATATGCTGGGGCATTATTGAGTGTCCAAGTGTTGCTTATGTTTTATTAGACTTTCAATGTGAATACTTTCTTGGACTTAATTTTTGCTGAAAATAGAAGCTTCTGCTTTAGGGCCTTATAGCTTCTATACCGGAGGCCAATTTGTCACATCTTTTTCTGCTAAGGCTAAGGAAGGTAAAAGCAGGACTGTATGGAAAATTTCCTCCACCCACTGCAACTGCAACTTCATCATTTGCTCGTTTCTCATTCCAAAGAGAGAAGGACTTCTAGAACCATTTACTTGGATTCCATTTCTAGACATGGTGATTATTAGAACATGGACACTTCTCCCATAACATTTTATACATTTACTTTATCAAATGCCAATGTATCAGTACAGAGATATATAGAAATATGTTACATTATAATACAAGAGAGTAGATCTCAAAGAACTCTTCTGTTTTACATAAGAAGAAAAGTTGGTTTTCAATGCAAACTATTTCTATTCCTTTTCAGTCAGATTTATAGCTAGATATTTATGGAGGAATCTTTGGGACTAGATGTATGTTGGTTAACTAATCCTAACATGTTTTATTACTTTGCTTTAATTCCTTTATTATTTAAAAAGTAGATAGGGTTTAAATACATGGGTTCCAGAAAAGGAACCTTGTTTTAGAATTTAAAAATTGGAAGCAACTCATCTTAAATCTTTTTCACAACAAGTAAAGTTAATGTTTATATTTTACAAAATTTCAGAATCAAAATTTTCCATACTATGTAGCAAATATTATTACCCTGTGTAGAAAAAGATTCCACAGGCCATGGCCAAAAATCCATGTAAGAATAGTTTAAATCCGGATATTCTATAGATTTACTATGTTTGCTTCTGCAGCAATTGTGTTTACAAACTGCTTTACAGTTGTATGAGATTTTCATTTTAGAATGTGAAATAAAGACCATGAATGTAAAATTTTGGCCAGTTCTTTCAGTTCAGCATTTTTCCTGCAGAGCTAGCACCATATGTTGAAGCTTTTGACAGACTCATGAATGAGAGTGTAGCTGAGTTTATAAAGAATAGCAAGATCCTTGATGGTGATATAAAGATTCATGTAAGTATTTATTTCTATTATAATTTTTAATTATGGAGGTTTGATTTTCACAAAAAAGGGTCTTCCACTGACTCCCTCTAGATTCCCAAAGGCCCAGTACTTGCTAAAATTTCAAGGGGTGAAGTAATAGCTGTCTAACCAAATTCAAAAAGAAGTTCAACTCAGAACTTCCATATTTTAGCCAAAACCGAGTGAAATGTATAGAAAGTTAAATCCACCTTTCCCAACAGACAATTTATTCAATGTAAATATCTAACAAAAGGTTGCCAGAGAAAGTGATTCAATTATAAATATTTTTGAAGGAATGTAAATGAAAACACCATTTACAATATAATAAATTCTCAGACTTAAATTCAGTTTAACTAAACTTATATTTATTCCCAATATTCAGTTCTAGATCACTTGAAAAACTTTTAGGGAGTATTTCAACAAACTCAGGAATGAGAGTGTAGCTGAATCAACACCAGCCCCAATCATATCAAAATTATTACTAAGACCAGGTAGTAGCAAATCTTATTTTGTAACATAACTAAACATGGTATCATATAGTAGTGCAGTGACATTAGGAATTGTCCTGCATAGTGTATTTATATCATTATTTTTCTTTAGCTCTGCAACACATTTTCTGAAAGTTCACTGACTTAAGCTGCATTGTAAAATATGGCTCTCAATTAACTTGATCCAGCATCTGTGCTTTACCTTAGCAATTCAAAGAAGGAATGCTTTTCTTCTACATATCTTATAGGCCACATGCCCCGTGCATTATATGTACAGCTGCTGCTTCTTTCATATCAGAAGTTGAAAAGAAAGTTTTGTTCGGTTTCAGAAAACACCTGTTACTCAGAAAACTGTCAGATACCTCACTAACTGGGATATTGAGATGTGATCACAGGAAACATTATATTATGTCATAGAATATGTTTAACGTATTTTAAAACATAATCTTATGCATAATTACTGGGGGAGAAACCCAGTGAATTGAATGGAACTTTTAAAGTTAAACATATGTAAGGTCACACTAACATGGACATAAGTCTCTATGTCCAACCTTGTGAATTTAATTTACCCAATGTGATCTATTTAATTATACTGGGTTCTCAGTTGAATTAGGAATTTAATTTATATCGATATTTAATAGGTACAATATATTTTGGTAGTTTACCTATAGTTTTTAAAATTCTTTCTAGAAATAGTAAATGTTAGGAGTTAACTTGAAAACTTCAAGCGTAGGAGAGCAAGACATGAAGTGTTTTAATTGAAATAACGTTAATTTATTGGACCCTATAGTGAAAGGAAAACCAACTTTTTTGTATCAAAAATCATACTAGTTCACATGGAACTTTTATGGGGCCAAAAGAAAACAAGGCTCTTGATGACCAATACAAATATATGCTTAAGGACACACATTTTAAAGCACATGCTCACTTTTCACATACATATAAACTACACATTAGTTTGGGGGAAGATTATTTTAATTGTTAAATGATTCCCTCTACCTTGAATAATAGTTTTTTTTTTATTATTTAGCATGCAAAATCTATTGCAGCTGTTGGGATTACCAAAAGTTTGTTTCTTTACTTCCTTGTCAAAAACCATTAGAATGTAATACTTCTTTTATCCAATATCCTGTTTCTATCTGACCTCAAAGCTGTAATAAATAAATTTGAATTTTGATCTTTTCCTGGCTTATTCAGCCTTCTTAAGGGTTTTATGGTCCATGCAAAAAGCAGCCAAGGTCTGCATAAGCTTGTACCTCACTTTATATACAGTATTTGAAAAGAAAAAACTCAAAAATGGGTGGCTATTTTTAATTATATTTGCTGATAGCAAAAAATATTCTCAATTATTCTTAATTCAGTTGATGAGTTAGATTTATAATAAGCGCTACAAAGCTTAAAGCATAACTCATTATAGCTGGCTTAGGTGAATAACCTGCAGCTCAATGTATAGGGCTTCATTCTGAACCACTTCTTGAACTGGTGATCTGATGGATGTGTGTGTAATAAGCATCAATATCAAGTTTGGCTAAAAGAGGAATGATAGCCACAGTTGTCAAGGGAATGTTTGCAATAATAACCGCGAGTGGAACAAGTGACAATTTCTCTGTCGGACGTGCTCATGTATAAAAACAAATAAAAAGATTCACTATTGTAGTACAGATAGTCCTCGACTTAACAACAATTCATTTAGTGACCGTTCAAAGTTACAACAGCACTGGAAAAAGTGACTCATGACCATTTTCCATACTTATGACTGTTGCAGCGTCCCCATGGTCACATGATTTACATTTGGATGCTTGATGACTGATTCATATTTATGACGGTTGCAGTGTTGTGGGGTCATGTGATCCTCTTTCGCGAACTTCGGACAAGCAAAGTCAAAGGAGAAGGCAGATTCATTTAACAACTGTGTTACTAACTTAACAAGTTAGTTGTCTATGGAGATTCTCAGTCATCCAGGTCACGCTTGTCCCAAAGGTGCTTTTGTTTTCAAGAGGCAACTGGACCTTCTGTTTTTTCTTTGAAGACGTTTCGCTTCTCCAGACTTCCCAAGTCTGAAGAAGCTTCTTGGATGAGAAGCAAAACGTCTTCAAATAAAAACCAGAAAGTCCAGTTGCCTCTTGGAAAAAAAACACACCTTTGTGTTAACAAGTTAGTTCACTTAACAAATCTCTCACTGAGCAACATACATTTTGGGCTCAGTGGTGACTGTAGGTTGAGGATTACCTGTATAACAGATCTGACCTTAGTATTAGAGACGATGATAGGCCACTCCAGGCAGCAGATTCTGAAAAAGAGAGAGAGACGCAGGGCTGCTGCTGACACAGTACTCACACTTCAGTTATCATGGGTTGTTTAGTGGGGGTTAGGTAGAATAGGCAGAGCCCAAACCAACAAACTGGGTTAGGATTTAGCATGATATATGAAGCTAGCCATGTCTCATAACCCCAAGTCATGAAGTTGCAATAGAGAAGGCTGTCCTGTCACTGTTAAGTAATGAAAAACTCAGCCATCTGTTCAGCTCAGAGAACCAGGAGGCTGAGCAGGTGTACACACGTGTCGGCATCGGGTTGCCTTTTCTCTCAGGCAGCAACGTATCTTGGCTGATGATTTTTTTTTTTTGCTTTATCCAATCCCTCTGATGCTTTTTAGTCTAGATTTGGATGAATGGGCACGCTCGGTATGCTATCGTTCTAATCAAGAACAATTCTGTCTTGTCTGGGTTTAGTTTCAGTTGATTACTCTTCATTCAGGGAATCAGGATATATGCTGGTTCAGTTTCCTTTAACATAGATTTGCCCAGTGTTTTTCTAAAGCCACCGCAGAGCCATTTATACAGAGGTTTATTGAAATGATTTACACTTTGAGCTTTTTTTTTCACAATGACATTGTGATACAATTGTTCATGCTTATTTTGGAATGAAGAGTTTCTATGGCTCCTTTTAAATGTGCTTGTCAACAGTTTGAATTGATATTGAACGATATGAAGGTTGAAGTGATACAAAAAGATAATAGAGGAAAACAAATTACAAATAAATTACATAGGATGTGGACATAGGGTTTCCTTTGGTTGCCCTGTATATAATTTATTGGAAGAATCTAAGATCTAATATTGTGAGACAGAAAATACATTTCTCTATCCTCGATATACAATTTATAATTTTTGAAATTATAAATATAATAGTTTTCCCTTTTCTTCTTCTTTGTTCTTAAATTAAAAATTCACAACATTTTTAACTTAAATTTTATTGACTCTCTTAAATGAGATTGAAAACAGAAACATCTGTTGGTTTACCTAATGTCTCTTTTTTCTGTAAGTCATATATATGTTTGTGTGTGTATGTATATACATATATGTATATGTATATATATTTACATCATTACAAATAAAACATTAAAAATTGTGCTCATATATACAGGTAGTTTTTGACTTCCAACAATTTGTTTAGTGGCTGTTTAAAGTTACAGTAGCACTAAAAAAATGTGACTTATGCCCATTTTTCATATTTACGACCATTGCAGCATCCCCTAGTTCACATGAATAAAATTCAGATGATTGGCAACTGGTTCTTATTTATGACCATTGCTGTGTCCAAAAGTCATTTTGCGACGTTCTGACAAGCAAAGTCAATGGGGAAGCCAGATTCATTTAACAACCGGGTTATTAACTTATCAATTGCAATGAATCACTTAACAATTGTGACAAGAAATGGGGCAAAACTCACTTAACAAATGTCTCACTTAACAACATAAATGTTGGGCTGAATTGTGGTCGGATGTCAAGGACTACCTGTATTAAACTCGCCCACAAATTGCAGCACAAGAAAACTGATCACAGGTGAAAAAAAATGGTTTCTGTAAGGAATGTGTAGAAAATGGATGAACTTCATGAATGGATGAAAGGTAAAACATTACCTTTACTTCTACATATATTACAATATAATATAATTATTATATTATAATAATAATATAATGTAGCTTGGTTAGAGTACATGGGTTTAGATAAATAGGATTTGCAGATCAAAGAGATTTGGGTAGCTTTATTTAAGGGATCATAACAGTATCAGGTAGAGAAAGTCCTCTTAAAAGTGTTTGCTTTTAATACTTTCAATTCATAGCTTATTCCCTTGCTTACCCCTTTTCCATAGGCAGAAATGGTTCAAGCCGCTTTCCAAGCTCAAAGGGCATTTCTTTGGTTGACCTCACATTATCAAGAACCCCAGGAGGTAAGAAATATTGTGGTCACCTGAAACGTTCAAAGTTTTGTTGGTTTTTAAAAACGGGAATGTTGGTGTGTTGTAAAGCAAAACAAAATCAGACTTTGGCTTCATTTTATTTATTTTTAAAAAGTCTGGGTGGCTATACTTATTTAAAAAATAAAAATGATTGGCTCCTAGAACCCAGTGGTTTAGTTGAATGTATGCCCAGAACAAAAGACCATACCCTGGAGAATGGCAGATGAATTTCTGCAGGAGGATGTAAGAGTCCTATAAATAAAGTTACTGTTAAGACTTTCCCAATCTTGGTTAAATATCTGGAAATATCTCAGAATTTCTTTTAATTCTCTAGGTAATAGTTCTGATAAAGTTGTGAAGTAAGAAACCTTCATTAAATGACAACTTAATTGCATATAAAATTGCCCCCCCCCCCCCCCGATTCATACTTGGCAAGAGAACCACTATGTGATTTGTTTTGGGTTGCATATTGTGCAAACTTTATTGAGATTTGCAAACCCTAATTATCATGGTTTGGTTTGGTTTGGTTTTTAGTTTGATCTAGCAGTTAAGGAAGCAGCCTAGAAACTAGGGGACTGAGTTCTAGTTCTACCTTAGGCATGAAAGCCATCTGGGTGATTTTGGCTAGTCACTCTCACAACAAACTACCTCATAGGGTTGTTGTGGAGAAAATAGATTCAAATTATCTATCTAGTAAGAATTTACACCAGCTTGATGGCACATTATCAAACATTTTGGTATCCTCAAGAATTTTGGACCTTCCACAATTCCTTGTGGGGCCCCATGGTAGCTATTACTAATTTAAAACCTCTAGCAGCATTGATTCATAACTAGGATATGGTGAGTCCTCCTAAGCAAAAGAAAAACAATTTTTTTGCTGTCATGATAAGCTGAAATATATCATAGTGTAAAATTAAAACAGCTATATGTGTGTATGTAAAACACAGTTGTCATGCAAAATAAATATTCTGTAACAAGCATTCATCTGTTTCAGTAGTATTTTTTTACTGCAAGTGATATAATAGTTTCATTTTGTCGAAAGCATGAAATATGTGTTGTAGGTTTCCAAATAATGCATTTAAGCATAAAGAAAACTTGATATGAACACAACAGAAAACACTTCGTTAATGTGACATCATCTGTTTCTGTTTGTATTTTAAGCTAAAGTCACAAACTTAGCAAAACCCAGACAGGTAGAATTCTCAATCATCAGAATTCCCAGGGCAGAGAAAAGCATATTAAGATGACAGCAACACTTGGAAAAACAAGCAGTTGTGTCATTGAGCTTTCCAGACAGTTTGTGAAGCGGTGGATGAATAAGCTGTTGGTGATCATGTCTTCACAGCTTTGCAAATATTCAGAAGCAATGTTAAAGGGAGGGGTGGGATTTGCATAATGTATTCTAAAGTAATAACAGAAAACAAAACCGTTAGCATTCTGAAGCATCTAGGATTCTTTAGTTCAAATGTAGCATCCATGCCCAGCAAGTCACAAAGAAATGTTTGTTCATTGTGATTTTTCTGAGATATTTTTCTGTTAGCAGTGCTTACATTTTATTACATCTTGAAGCCTGTCATTTCCCTGCACATGCAAAAATAGCAAGAGCCAAGAAGATAATTCCAGCTGGCATGTCAATCCTGTAGCAACTACAATAAATTACTTAGCAGAGTGAATGCTTTGTTCCTTTTTATGGTCATGTTCTATATTTGTATGTGAAGGGGAAATGGTCACATGAGAAAACCATCATCTGATACTACAGTTTACATGTACTAGCTGGCTACTAGCTACTGCCTGCAAAATTACTCTTCGGAAAGCTGCAATTTAAACTCTCCTACTTATTTGGAATTTATTGCAAATGCTTTAACTTAAGCAATATGTTAAAAACAGCCATAAATTATCATTTAAATAAACAAGAAGTGGGAAGTTATTTTAAAAACAGTTTGGAACTGGAATAAACTAAAATTAAAGTAATTATGTATAAAGATTTCCCACTAAAATACAAATTTCCCTCACTTTATGTGATTTTTGTTTATGTGATTTTCTATTATGCAATTGATCATTTCCATTCAAGAAATCACTTCGTGCAGGGAAAATAGTACTATTATGTGATTTATGCCAGTATACTCCATTTGTTCTTAAGAGCCAATGTGATGGACTGTTTAAGGCAGGGGTGTCAAACTGGCCTGTGGTGTGCTTAGATCTGGCCCAGAGGGCTGCCCTGGAAACAGCAAAGGACTGGCCCGTAGTGCCTCTGCCAGCGAAAATGGAGCTCAGGAGGCTGCAACGGCCTCCTGCAATACTCTGTCAGTGAAAATGGAGCTTGACAGCCATGGCCCTCCCAAGCTCAATTTTTGCTGGCAGAGGTTGCAGGAGGCCGTCGCAGCCTCCTGAGCTCCATTTTCATTGGCAGAGAGCTTGAGCAATCACAACACTCGTCATGTCCAGCCCACAACACTAGTCATGTTGAGCTGGCCACACCCACCTGGCCCCCAATGTCAAACACAACCCTGATGCGGCCTTCAATGAAATTGAGTTTGACACCCCTGGTTTAAGGCATCAGGCTAGAAACCAGGAGACAATGAGTTTTACTCCCATCTTAGGCACAAAGCCAGCTGGGTGATCTTGAGCCAGTCACTGTCTCTCAACCTCAGGAAAGAGGCAATGGCAAACTACTTCTGAAATCTTGCCAAGAAAACAAATGCAGGGACTAAAATCCAGGCAGTCAAAACTGACTCAAAGGCACAAAATAAAAAAGTTCATTTTCACCAGTGGTCTCTAGAAACATATTCAGACTTCTTCCCGCCAAAACTGCTTGTGTTTTCCTAGCCAAAGCCCTTTCTTTCCTCCCTTATGCATTTATCATTGGGTTGTGCTGTTGTTCTAGTGGTGCATGTTTAGTTCCGTAGCAACAATAGCACTTAGACTTATATACCACTTCACACTGCTGTACAGCTCTCTCTAAGCAGTTTACAGAGTTAGCATGTTGCCCCAACAATCTGGGTCCTCATTTTACTGACCTCGGGAGGATGGAAAGCTGAATCAGCCTTGATCCAGTAAGAAGAACTGCTGGCAGTTGGCAGAATTAGCCTGCAATAGTTCATTTTAACCACTGCGCCACCATGCAGAACAGGAAGGCTCCCAGATATATAATGACTGAAACACAATTTACCTCACGAGACAATTCATTACGTAAGAACCTTAAAAAGCCCAGGAAGTTGATTGTTTAGTTCAGAGTCTATCTACATTTCATCATTCGGTATTACCTCCAAATATTTCAAAACACACCATCATGTCATCATCGCATTAGACAAATGACTTTTCTGATAGGGGAAGTGTTCTTAGAGCTGGGTACCTTTAACACACTGAACAAATTTTGAGAAGATCTCAGTTTCAATAATGAAAAGAAAATTGGTTTGTATATGCGTGTGTGTACACACATGCTTGCACATACACATACAAAAAAACCCCATTTCTGTTCTGCTAGTGATTTCTTCATTTTGTTTATACAGCAGAATGAAGTTGCCATTCTTCTAAAACCAATATCGGAAAAGATTCAGGAAATCCAGACGTTCAGAGAGAGAAATCGTGGAAGCAATATGTTTAATCATCTGTCTGCTGTCAGCGAAAGTATTCCAGCTCTTGGATGGATAACAATTGTAAGTTCTGAATTTTATAAGTGGACATTTTCCAAACAGAACCAGTTTTTTCTATCATGCAACCTTGGATTGGTTTGACTGGTTCAGGCCTCATTGCTTGCAGATGGTACTACCATATCACCACCTCACTTTTAAAGATTTCCTCTTTAAATAGCCCACTTCTCTGAATGGGGCTTCATCCAGCAATAGTGGGATTGGTGGGCGGAAACATTTAGTTGACTGACCAATGGAAGAGCTGTTGGATCTGTTTAGTACATAGCTAGGAGATCTCTACCAGGCCTGTAGTCTAAACTGTGAAGTCATGGAAGCATTCCTGAATAAGGCGGTGGCAAATATTCCATACTGTTTCCATAATTCCGCCAAGGAAATTGCAAGCATAGTCCGAAATAGTCACCTGGTATCATGAAGTGACCTTTCTTTTCTTGGAGAACAAGGTCAGCAAAACAGGCTTCTTGCAAGCCCTGATATATCTATGTTTTTTTGAAATAGCTGTTAGTTATAATAGGAAGGAGGGTCCCGTCCCCCCCCATGATTACATTTACCTTTTGTTTCTCTCTTAAAAATCAATTCCTGTGGTTTTACACAATGCTCCTGTGTTCTCTTTTTAGTCTGCTAAGCCAGGGCCTTACGTAAAGGAGATGAACGATGCTGCTACATTTTATACTAATAGGGTGTTGAAAGACTACAAGCACAGGTAAGTTAATACTCCCCACCACCACCTGCATCAACCAATTTAACTACTTTGCTTGGCTGGTGTGTCAAAATTCTGGGAATTGAAGTCTACAAGTCCTAAAAGTTAACACACATAGCATTACACACCCACAGTAACCAACACAGCACCTCATTCACCGACTCATGCACTCTCCCCAACCTTGCGTTGAAGCCTCAGACACCCCATGCTGTATATGTCATGTACCCTCACACTTGTTTACCCCCTCATTCGCTCCAGGTAACAGCCACCTACCTGCTTGCAGGCCTGAGAGTTCAAACTTCCTGCTGGATTCTCTACTGCATGGGTGTCAAACTCGCCGCGTCACGTTGCTGTCACGAGATGTTTTTTCCCTTCGCGGAGCTGGGGTGGGCGTGGCTTGCGTGTGATGCATCCAGCCAGCTTGACAACCCCTGCTCTACTGACTTTGGTTGTGGGAAACCAGCAAAAAATGTCTCATCTAACGACTGTGGATTCAATTAATGACAGCTGGGATGCAGGGATTGCCATCATTAAGCAGTAGAGTCTCACTTTATAACCCAGCACATAGGTGACATAATTTTCTGACCTAATTGCTGCCATAAGTCAAGGGCTACTTGTATTGAATTTCAGTAGGTAGCTTTTTAAATATGATTCAAGTGATTACAAATTACCATCAGTGGCAATTCTTTCCTTAGCTTGAAGGTCAGAAGGGATAGTAAAGAACATGTACAAACAGCTTTTATTATGTTACAGTGATTTGCGTCACATTGATTGGGTGAAATCATTCCTTAATATTTGGACAGAGCTTCAAGCATACATAAAAGAATATCACACTACTGGGCTCATCTGGAGTAAAACTGTAAGTGCTCTATTTCTTACCTTACTGTGTAAAAAGAGAATTAATACATTATTGTACAGTAGTGTTGCCAACTTAGTGTTAGAAGGGGATTTATTTATTCTTGAACTAAAAAAAAATCATTTTGGCTCCCAGCAACAGTATATTTCCAGGACAAAGAACTTTATGAAATAAATAAGTTAGGAGAAAGTTTTAAATGTTCCATCTCTTAGCATCTTTGATTCCATAATTGACTGTTTCCAAGAAAATTAGGAAAATTATATACAGGTAGTCTTCAGGTTGTGATGGCAGTGGGACCTTAGAAACTCTGATGCTAAGTCACAGTTGTAAAATGGAACTTCATGTGATCACATCACTTAGTGAAGGCAATTACATCAGTTAAACAAAGATCATGCACATTGTTAAGAGAGGATCTCAGGGGCCTTGGAGTCCTAGTGGACAATCAATTAAATATGAGCCAGCAGTATGCGGCAGCAGCCAAAAAAGCCAATGCAATCCTAAATTGCATTAACAGAGGGATTGAATCAAGATCACATGAGGTACTAGTACCACTCTATAAAGCCTTAGTAAGGCCACACTTAGAATATTGCATCCAGTTTTGGTCACCACACTATTAAAAAAAAAGATGCAGAAAGAGTACAGAGAAGAGCAGCAAAGATTATTAGGAGCATGGAGGCTAAAACGTATGAAGAATGGTTGCAAGAACTAGCATAGCTAGTTTAGTGAAGAGAAGGACCAGGGGTGACCTGATAGCTGTGTTCCAATATTGAGGGGCTGTCACAGAGAAGAGGGGATCAACTTATTTTTCAAAGCACCCAAAGGCCAGACAAGGAACAGTGGATGGAGAGAGAGATTCAATCTAGAAATAAGGACAGTGGGAACAATCAACTAATCAACTAATGAGACAGCTTTCCTTCACAAGTTGTGGGTACTTCATCATTGAAGGCTTTCAAGAAGAGACTGGACAATCACATCAGAAATGTTATAGGGTTTCCTGCTTGAGCAGTGGGTTGGACTAGATGACCTGCGAGGTCCCTTCCATCTCTGTTATTCAGTATTCTGATCACATCTCATGACTTCCTGCTGGCTTCCCTATTGACTTTGCTCTACAGCAGGGATCATTAGAAACTGCAGTCATGTGACCGTGAGTCACTGTGATGTCATAATTGTGAGCTGGGTGTCAAGCACCCTGATCTCAGTCATGTGACTGTGGGGTTACTGCAATGACCAGAACTCCCAAAGAACTATGGTAAGTCCCCTTGCTGAGCATTGTTGTAACTTTGAACCCGTTACTGAATGAATGGTTGTAACTCAAGGACTATCTGGATCTACATTTTAAACATTTAATCATCACAAAGAACAACATGTCCCAGCCAAGCCAATAACATTGATTGACACTTTTTTTCATTTTGTTCATGCATTCTTTTGCAGTTTTACCTAAGTTGGTTTTTACAATTACTTAAATCATCTTTTCTGTGTATTTTAATGCACAGAGTTCAGCTTATGGCTTCTGTAAAATCATAATTCCCTAGGCATGTTACAGGTTTTCAAGAGTTGACCTTGCCTTTATGCAGCAGGTGTTTGCTATTATTAGCAATTCATTTGATTAAATCTGAGCAGATGTTTTAACAATAAATCTTTATAAACAGCTTATAAAAACTATTTAGCACAAATGTTTACAATGTCTGTCTCCTAGGTTTATGTCAGCTGCCTCTTTGGGGACAGCTGTTCTCCTTTGTTATTGTCCATTATTTCAAATGGTTAGGCAATATATGATAATACATTGTGCTAACTAATATATGATAATACTTGTGCCAAATTATTTATTGGAGGTTGCTACATATCACTTTCACATTAATTTTCAGGGAAACAGTTATATCAAATGGATGAATATCAGGTTTTTAATGGATGAGAGTGTTGGCCTTCTTAATTTTGTTTCTCCCGCTAAAGATCACCTTTAAAAACTGAGGGTAGAAGTACAAGTTGCAAAGATATTAATGAATAACCCTCACACAGTGATTGAGTGGCTATGCTATTAAGCCATAATGAGGCATGTTTGGTTTTGGCTGAGCCATTGCATTTTTAATTACAGCTTCCAGCTTTAGCATGTTTCACAGATGGTTGTTTATATGTAAAGGTAACATTTTTTTCAAGCAGAAGTTGTGAGCAACGAGGTATTTGTCAATTTTCATACATAGCCCATAGCATAATAGCCAATTTTATTGAATCATTAATACTGAACTGGCAAAGGTGCTATAATGCTTAACATATATTCTAGACAAGATGGAAAGCACACAGATCAAACAAACAAACAATCATAAAAGTCACTAGGTAATTTGTTATGCCTTTTGCACTAAGGCATGACTTCCTTTGTGGTTTTTGAACAAGACAGTGGTTTGATATACATGTAACACAAAGCCATAAACTATGCTTAATAAATCTCATGGCTGAGTTCATGTTTTGTTTTTAGTCAAAAACTACCAGTGTTATTGCTTAGCACAGCCCTTAAGGAGCGTGGTGGCACATGTGGTTAGAATGCTGGGTTGACAAACAGCAGGCCCGCGTTTGACATCCAAGTGCTACTGTGTGACGGGATGCGCCGCTCCTGTCATTTGCTCCAGCTCCTTCCCACCTTGCAGTACGAAAGGATGCAAATGTGAGTAGATAAATAGGTACCACTTCAATGGGCACATTAATAGGGACATGAAAGGAGCCCCCCAACCAGGCGTCCCTAAGGCAACAGTGATGTCACCAGATAATCCTTTCAACCCAGAAGCGCCTTGGTGAATGTGAAGAACAGCACTTTTAGTTCTCTTAGAGCTTCTTCTCCTCTAGAGATGGAAATTGACAGCAGTTTCCTCCCTTTTGAGGTAAAAGGTAAAGGTTCCCCTTGCACATATGTGCTAGTCGTTTCTGACTCTAGGGGGCGGTGTTCATCTCCTTTTCTAAGCCAAAGAGCCAGCACTATCTAATGACTATTCCGTGGTCATGTGGCCGGAATGACTAAATGCTGAAGGTGCAAGGAACGCTGTTACCTTCCCATCGATGTGGTTCCTATTTTTCTACTTGCATTTTTTTACATGCTTTCGAACTGCTAGGTCGGCAGAATCTGGGGCAAGTAACGGGAGCTCACTCTATTACACGGTGCTAGGGATTCGAACTGCCAAACTGCCAACCCTTCTGATCGACAAGCTCAGCGTCTTAGTCACTGATCCATCGTGCCCCGCCCCTTTTGAGATAGGAAACATGAAAATGACAGATAAATAGGCACATCAGAGTCCAAAATTTAAAAAAAATCCATCAAAGATTTGAGACTTTGTGAACTATGTGTATCTTGCCTATCTCTCAGTATTTTTACAAACCCTAACTCTTTTTTGGACAGATATTTGTATGTATTTCTTAAGGATATTAATTCTGCCTGCCTTAAACCAGATTAATTTGTAGGTGTTTATTCCAAGTTTTCTAAGTTTGTCTTTAATGGACTTATTCAGGAATATATATCTTCTCTTTGTATCAAACATTTTTATTTAGTTATAAAGGATTATAAAATACAAGGGAATATATACCTTCTCAACATCTGAAAAATGTTTATGGTTTAACTGAACATTCAACACTCAACATCAACTACTAGTTACTAAAATCCTGAAAGAATAAAATTGCATTCTGTCGGTAAAAACAGACAGAACAAAACATACAAAGTTTTGTATGCTTCATGTAAGTACATAGTCCTGTTCTGTTGATACGTATACCCAGACATAAAAAAGAGACTGAAGCCCAGAAGATTATATAACAACCTATCAGAACAGGTGGACTGTGGCTCAGAGACACAGATCTTTTGTTAAGGTGTTTCTTCTGTAAATGTATACTCGGGTTGTCTTTATAAAGCACAAATTTTACACCACCTGTTTTCAAGCATCCTTGCCGCAATGCAAGTCTAGTTACCAGGTGAAATAGCTGATGGGCAAAGGCAGTCTCAACTTACAACCACAAGTGAGCCCAACATTTCTGTTTTAAGTGAGACATTTGTCAAGTGAAATTTGCCCCATTTTATGACCTTTCTTGCCACAATTGTTAAGTGAATCGCTGTACTTGTTAAGTTAGTGACCCAGCTGTGAAGTGAATCTGGCTTCCCCATTGACTTTGCTTATCAGACGGTCACAAAAGAGGATCCCATGACTCTGCGACAATGCAGCCGTCATAAATATGAGTCAACTGCCGAGCATTTGATCCTAGGATCATGGGGATGCTGCAATGGTTGGAAGTGTGAAAAATGGTCATATAACTCACTTTTTTTCAGTGATGTTGTAACTTTGAACAGTCACTAAATGAACTGTGTATATCAGGGACTACCTGTATGTCATTTATAGAGAAACATCTCCTCTTTTTTGTCTATTAGCTGAATTGTTCATTTGGTTGTTTTACAACATTGGAGTAAAATTGCACTTTACAGAAACTCCCATCTGTTTACTTTTAAAAAATACAATTAGGGTCCAGTAGCGTCAGCAGCATCGAGTTTCCCTGCTGTAGTGAACAAACAAGGCCTCCCTCCACCGCCACCTCCACCCCCTCCGCCACCAGGACCTCCTCCTGCCATCGATAGAGAAAATGCAAAAGATGATGCAACTGCATCTCGTTCAGCCTTATTTGAGCAATTGAACCAGGGAGAAACAATTACTAAAGGTAGGAAGCCTGCCATAACTTAGCACTTTTTCCAAACCGTTACTCTCTACGTTTTCTCACAAAAGTTAAAAGCACTTGCTTTCATGAACACAAACATCTTTATGCTAAAAATGCTTAACTTGGAAATCTGACTCTGCAGACACTTCTGGTGAAGAAAGGGTGATCTGAACATCCCTGAAGCAGTGGGGACAACAGCCAGATACTGGATCATGGCCGGCGAAACCTTCTGGACAAAGTTGAGATTATGAGCTTGCCCATATGTACTCCAGACAGCTCCTTCTTGTGAATAAACCACAGGAACCCAAGTTTTAGCAGTTGGCTTATGCGAGTGGCTGGGAGTCAAGGGATTCCATCTAAGCTTATAATGTAATGTACCCTGTGTGGACACAAAGCACAACCGAATCTCATTTCTTAGTCACTTTTTGGGTTGTTGTTGTTTTTCTGCTTACCAGATATTAAGAACATTTGGAACAGCAAGTTTTTATTGCAACCATGGAGTGAGTTATTAAAAGAAGTTTGAAGTATGAATTTAAGAAATCTATTTTCTGGCATAAACAGCAAAAGGGTGTTTAGAGTATTGATTTTGGAAAGTTACAAACAGACTAAGGGTCCAGATGGATTTGAAATGGACTTTGAAATTAATTCTAAGAATCCTTTCCATGGGAAAATAATTTTGTTTGGAATTCTTTTTACAAAAAAATGATAGGGTGGGATTTAAAGGTTGGGCACCAGTAGGAATAGAAGGAACTAAAGATTATAGATAAAAGAGAATAACAATTAAGTTTGACTTAATACAGAATGGAATAAATTTTTTTTTTTAGCATTTGACACATTCCTGAACAATGGACCCAGAAGTTAATTTTAACGGTACCTGCCATTATAGGTAGTCGTCCACTTATGGCCACAATTAAGCCTGGAATGATGGTTGTACATTGCTGTGCTCATTAAGCACAACATGTGATTGCCTCATTTAACAACCACAATTCCTGCTCTCCGTATAATGGTCATTAAGCAAATGTGTCAGTTGTTTTGTGGAGCAGAGATTGTTAATGGAGAATGGAGTGCCAAAACCAAACATTCTAATTCACCCTTTTTCTGTTTATTTCCAAAGAAAAATAAAACAAAATCCAAATTTGTAAACTTTTTTCACTAAGGGTTGGAAGGAATTCACTTGGTGTTTTCAAACTTGTTGAATCAAACATACCTATTAGCTGAAAAGCAGTTAACAAGCAATTTCTGAAAGTGATTAGAAAAGGATGTGAACCCAGTACCCTTAAAGGCACCGCCATTCCCTTGTCTCCCAGAGTTTAAGCTTGCTGTCAACTGCTGTTGACTGCTGTCTTGCAATCTTCTCGTGAGGAGCAGTGTTTGGAGCACTTGTGGGCAATCTCAAGTCCTTTCCTTGTCCAGAGAAGAATTACGATTAGCCGATCTACTCACTGGTTCTTTATTTTGCTGGATCTTTATTCTCCACTTTTAGTTAAGTCTTCTTCAGTTGACCATTTTTTCCTTAGTCCACATTCATGTTTTATTTCTGGGGCATAGTGCAGGCCCATTTTTGAATCTGTTGTCCTATTTTAATTACTACAACCGCATTTCTGGTTGTATGAATAATAAGCCCAGCTATACATCACCTACCTATACTAGGGATTTACTGAAATATAAATATCCACATTTGTGTTGCAGAACAGTCAGATCAATAAGGGCATTAACTGGGTGCTGCCCAGAGTTGATTAAAATATGGGCAGCTATATAATTTAAACAAACAAACAAATAAACAAATGAATATGGCAATGATCTGGAGGACACTCAGGTCAAAAAGAGCACCAAAAATAAATAGCTTAGGTTAGGACAAAGAAGCTATGGTCCTCCCATTGTTAGCGTTAGCAGCTTCCAACAGCTTTTGGCAATAACTTGAAAGGTGATGGGAGATGCCAACATCTGGAGAGCTTGTCTCATGATTCTGGTTTAGATAACATTTATCTAGTAGACTTAAGGTGACTCCTTTCTTTCTGAGAAACCTTAAGCTATACCATATTTTTAAATTTGACAATTAAATCAAATGAATATTCTATAAATAGATGTATTCAAATATATGTCAATTTACCAAATACAGTACATGAATAATACTAATATGAGTACCACATATTAACAAAGCAAACCTTATAAGTACAAAAAAACTTTTAAAATTCATACTACTGCCTATGATTTTTATAGGACTTAGACATGTCTCTGATGACCAGAAGACCCATAAAAATCCCAGTCTGCGTGCTCAAGGAGTACCAATGCAATCTCCTACCAAAACCTATACTTCTGAGTCTCCCAAAATACCTCCTCAAAAGAGTTACTGTCCTGTGTTAGAACTTGAAGGCAAGAAATGGAGAGTGGTAAGTTCAACTCACTTGTAGGTAACCTGGAAATTATCTTTATAATTGATTGTAAGTGAGTTTTCCATTGAATTGTTCCCTAAGAATTGTGTGCTTGATTTTTTGTAATAGGATTAATAGTTTTACTTCCTAAGAATTTTAAATTAGCAACTGAAACATATATTGGACCCAGCAGGTAGAAACATCTAGCTAGCCCAGGGGTCTGCAACCTTAAACACTCAAAGAACCATTTGGACCTGTTTCCCACAGAAAAGAAAACTCTGGGAACCTCAAAACCAGGGTGGGCATGGCCATCTCAACATCACTCTCACCCAGTCACATGACACCCAACACCACCACGCCTACCCAGGTTTTGTGGCTCCTGGTGTTTTCTGTGGGAAATGGGTCTCTCTCTCTCCCTCTCATTTCTGTTTTTTGTGTTTTATCTTCTCAGGCCAGGTGAAGTGTGACTAAGAGGGGAGGGTGAGGGGCGTGGCCAGCCAGTGGTGGGATCACCCAACAGGGAGCCACAGCAGAGGGCCCAAAGAGCCACATGAGCTCCAGAGCCGTGGGTTGCTGACACCCGAGCTAGCCTTTCTGGGCTGAGAAGCTAAGCAGGGCTGGGACTGGTTAATATTGGATGAGCAATCACCAAGAAGTAGCAGGGTTGTAATTTAGATTGGAAAACATATAGTAACTCTATATCATATCGTAACTCTACTTTACATGTATCGTGAGACTTTGATTAAATTGTTACCAGGTAAGAAATAAGATATTTCCATATTTACAGAATTGCATTCTGGCTGAATGAAGAATGAAAATAATTCCTTGTGCATTTGCTAATAAAGGAAAAACAATGAATAGTTACAACTCATTCTATTCTTCCTCATCAATCTTATAATAATTATAACATTATAGTCACACCTAGAGATCCTAGTCTTTTCCCTGATGAAGGCTCAGACCTTCATCAGCTTCCCTCAGGATAAGCCTACAGAATCTATCTCATCTGTGGGAGAAACAGCCCTGTAAATACTGGTACTCAGTCTTCTTGGTTTTTATGGGTTACTAAAACACTGGTATGATGCCGTATTTCTCAACTACCGTAATTTACACATTCTTTTGATGAGCAGGAGCCTATTTCTTATCCTAAGAAATTCATAGAAAGGAGAAGAAAAGACTGATGCTGGATTTACAAAATTCAGCCCCAAATTCAATATTTGTTCATATCATAAGGGGAAACGATAGCATTAATTTATTGTTGACTAAATTTCATTTCCAATATAACTTGTTTCTTTACCTAAGGCAAAATGTTCAAGATAGAATGCTGTCTCTAAAAAAAAAGACAAACTGTTTTATGGCTAGACAGTATAATTTAGTTATTTTGCTGTCAAGGACTACTTAAGGGTTAGGATTGGTCATTGGCCCTGTATTTGAAAGTGATAGCAACCATAGGATGGAAACATGTTACTGAAATTTTGTTGCCAAAATTGGGAGTATTCTGGGATATGTAATATGTGCTGTATGTTGCAGGGGGCGTATGCAGCAAATAAGTAATTGGTTCATTCTTCTGTGCTTTATTTTACATACAAATATTTAACGTACTGTATTGATTTCCATTTTGAATCATATTTCTTCTTTAATACATGTTATGTATTGCTGTTGTCATAGTTTTTTCCATCCCCCTCTTTTATATGTACAGTAATTGAAGGCAGTAAACATTCCTAATATTCCTACCTCCCTTTTCTCCACAACACCTGGCTCAAAGTCATCCAGCCGACTTTCATGTCTATGGCAGAACTAGAACTCGCAGTCTCCTGGTTTCTGGACCAACACCTTAACAACTATATCAAAGTGTCTCAAACATAAACGGCTAAATTGGGAAACAGATATAAAACAATTGTAGAATGTAATTGCAACTTATGTTTTCCCTTGCCTTTAGTCTCTCTTTAAACAGTTAGAGATTGAGAGGAAAGTGCAAATGCTACTTTCTCATCTGTGGTAACAGCTACTATAAGATCAATTAAACCTTTTTTTTTTCAAACAATGCAGGAGTACCAGGAGGACAAGAATGACCTATTAATTTCAGACACTGAACTCAAGCAAGTAGCTTACATCTTCAAGTGCAATAAATCTACATTACAGATAAAAGGAAAAGTTAATTCCATTATTGTTGGTAAGTTCACTTCTAGGACAACACTAAAGCTGAAATGCATATTTCTCTTGAGCAAGTCTTATGGTGCACAGCAGACTTTAATTTCAAGCAAACATGTTTAGGAATGCACTGTCTATTACAAGTCTTCTGAGCAAGCATTCGTTTATTCTTCCAAATAAACAGGCATAGTGTAACACTGCTCAATTCTGCAAGGGGTTAATAGCTGAATATTAGGTTTTAAGACAGTTTTGTTGACATCTGCAGGGATATCTACATAACTAAAGTTATTCATGGGTATTTTCAAGAAGTGGCAAATAAATGCCTTCTCATATGAAAAACAATATAACTATACATTCTCTATACAATCCTTTTCCTTTTTTTCCCCAGACAACTGTAAAAAGTTTGGCCTTGTATTTCACAATGTTGTTGGTATTGTTGAAGTAATAAATTCCAAGGACATTCAGATACAGGTAAACCCATCTTCATATAACACTGCTATGGAAAAACAAATTCAAAATAGAAAAAAAGTACTATTCAGTTGTAAGATGATCCATCTCCCCATCTTTATGAAATTGGTATTTTGAGTAGCAGAACTAAATTAAGGAACCTGGACAGAGGGAGAGTCCCCCACATTAGCTGAGCTTGGACTGACACAATTAATCATTGCCTTTATTAAAAACATTGCTTTTACTAATTATTTATATCCCTTAGCTCAAATAATTTTTTTCATGTTATAGAATGTCCTGTTTTTCTCTTCTGAGGCAGGTTAAGATAATTACACATAGGCCAGTGTGAGCCTCAGAGTTAGGGGATAGCCTCTTGGGGAGATAAAGATTTATATAATTTTGATTTCTGATTTTATTGTCTTAGGTGCTTGGGAAAGTGCCAACCATTTCAGTGAACAAAACTGAAGGCTGCCATATATACCTCAGTGAGGAATCATTAGATTGTGAGATTGTGAGTGCTAAGTCATCTGAAATGAACATTCTAGTACCACTGAATGGCGACTATGTAAGTACTACATTTTGGTCTGATACAAAACACAGAAGCATAGACTGCATCCTTTAGTGTATCACTGATATTTTGTCTTGAAAAAGGCTTTTGGGGACAGCAAGTGTTGTCCTCAAAAATTTGGTTTGTGTGACCACAGTAGTGTTGTTTGTAGCAAATAGAGCAGCTTGTGTCACATAGGAATCTGGCCAGTTGTACCTTCAAAAAGTTCTTGTGTTATTATTTAGATCCTTTTTATCCAGTATTATTATTTTTATAAACAACTCAAAGTGGCAAACATACCTAATATTTACTCCTCCTCTTATTTCCCCACAACAACCTTGTGTGATGAGTTGGGCTGAGAGAGTATGACTGGCCTAAAGTCATCCAGCTTTCATGCCTAAGGCAGAACTGAGTCTTCTGGTTTCTAAGCTGATGACCATACTTTTTACTAGACAAAATGTGCTTGCTAGTTTACTGTGTATGTTTTAATGTTTATATTTATGATGGATATGTTATTATTTTTACACCGCTATATATACCATGGACATTTTCAGTACTGTAAGCAGTCATGAGTCAAAATGAAATTGGCAACATGTATATTTGGTAAATCAATAAAATGAAGCATTTCCCTAAAAGTCTTTAAGATGGGATTTAATTCTTCTAATCCTGTTACGTTTGCATGATAGAGTGATAAAAGTGATTTATACAATATGCTTAACAGTTAACATATACATATGAGAAAGCAATTAACATATACAAACTTGGCTAAGTGGTTAGGTCGAGTGTAGAAAAATTATTTAGCTCCACATGATCTTGGATTTGTTGTGGGACAAAATAACTGCGCTGCTTCCTAAACAACTATTGGATGGTGATGGCTAATTCATTCTTCAGCCTTGTGTGACAGAAACTAAGGTGCAGAAGTCCAATACCTCTTTACTGTAGTTATTTTGGTTTTCATCCTTATATTCACAAGGGAGGGGTGGGAAAGAGACATAAATTGAGTTGTGTGGGCATTATGCTATGGTAGAATTATTATTTTTTGTTATTTTTTCACTCTTCTAAAAGGAGGAAGAAGCAAAACTGCTTAGCTTCCCTGATTGTTTTGCAACTTCTGGAAATCCAGAAGTGAACACAACTGAACTGAATAGGAGATGTACAATTATATCTTGATGGTTATTTACCTTTTCCAAAATCAATTTGCATTAGTTGCTAGGAAGCAATGTTAGAGGAGGGTTGTTGCCCTCTAGTGAATGTCTTCAGAATCCATCAGGTTTGGTGCTGTATATGGTATAGTCCCCCCCCCCCCTTACATTCTTCATGTGAAATTAGATGACTTAAACTTAGAATAACTTTATTGTCACTTTGAATGTACACTAATCGGCATACATTAAAACGAAATTTTGTGGCATACAACTCTCAAAGGGGCACCACCTCCAATGCACACTACATAAACATGACAAAATAAATAAATAACTACAAAATTATGCATATACCCACATATATTATATGATACAGAGAAACAACAGAGTCTAGTTCGGATGTATACATGTATAGGGCGAGAAAAACGAGATAAAAGCTTTACCTGCACATGCTGGGTATATGAGTGACCAAATTCTTTTTTTCCCCAACTGCTGTGTTGAGCAATATGCATGGAACTTAGCCTAGCAACCTTTTTTTTTTTAAAAAAAAAATCAATATACCCTGTTTTATGAATTTGCACATTCAAACAACTGATGATATTTATGGTTGCACTGTGCAGAAATGTATATCCACAGCAACGTATACATGCATTTCCCAAATTAGCCTTCACATCTCATGAATGCAGATAACTTTAGGGGATGAAAACATCTGCAGAAATGTTAAAACATTGCATAATGTAGATGACAAAAGACAAGGAAATGATAAACTGAGCAGTTCTGGGCCATGGTGGTCAACCTCGTTCATATGCAGTAGCATAAGGAAATGAAATTTTTACAAAATCAAGAGATAACAATTAGAAACATAAAAAATATGAAGAACTTATACATTTTTTGAGTCGGTGTCTCTAGAGCAGTGATCCCCAACCTTTTTGACACCGTGGCCCGGTATCGGCATCAGCTGGGCGCCGCGGCCCGGTACCAGCATCAGCTGGGCGCCGCCATCTTTTTTTGATGAAAA